ACTCGAGGCCAATCCAACCTTTTTCTTTTGTTTATTAGCTCTTCCTGCTCTTCCTCTTTCTTCTTCTTAGGCCTATCCAACAGCCGCAAATAGTTCCTACTCAATTTTCTACGCTAGTTCCTCCTATTCAGGACGCTGGCTCTTTTGTTAATTTCTATAGGCTCCCTAATCGTACGCTTTGGTGTGAGTTCCCCGTAGACTGCAAAATGTGTTTTGAGGCATTTTATTGAATGCCCTGTATTAGCAATGCATTGAACAAACTCAGACTTTTAGACTCACAGACCTTTACAAGCGGTTTTTGGTTCGCATAGTCTCTTCTGGATGGGTCGGCAGGTCTCCCCCACATAGACATTATCACGAGTTAAAAATCATCTTGCAACCTGATCTAGATGGTCCGTAAATTCTTTAAACAAGAGAACTGCTTAAGGAAGTGTTAATTTCTTTATATATTGTTCTGATATTCCAAATTCTCAATAGATCACCCTAATTTTCCGCGAGTTGATAGAAAGGCAGAATCAGGAGCTATGTAGAATGGTCCAACTGTCTATCCTACCCCAGATAGAGTGAAATGTTACTATCTACTAGTTATAATAGGTGATTGTTTTGAAACAATATATGCCTCATTCTACTGATCTCTTGGTCCTTGTGGTTTACGTCCGCTAGACTCAGATTCCCTATTATCATTGATTTTATAACTCCTATTTTAAATCTATATGCATGATTATAGAAGAAATACATAAGGAAACCCGTGTGTGTGGGTTTACTAAACACGTCTCTGACCAACTTCTTACCTTCTTTGCTCACTGCAAAATCCAAAAACGGCAATTTCCTTTTTTCTAACCCTATGGTACACTTATTATTGACATCTATCCTATTTATTAGCTCAAGGAATTCACACAAACTATCTTTGCTGTGTGCCAAGCAGCAAAGTAATAGTCCACATATCGAACTATTAACTTTAGAACCAGGAGTGCCTCCTGAAATACAATAACTTCTTATTTGGCCATATAGTTGTTAACTAAAATAGGGGCTAAACAGGATCCCATAGCCAAGTTTTCTGTTTACTCATACAACTTACCATTGAAGGCAGAATGTATATTATTAATTGTCAAATTGATTACCCTATTTATTGAATCCTTGCCTAATTGTTTACCCGTTATGATCTCAGGATGCTAATATAGCGAAAAAGGCCACATTAAATTTATATTTATAGTGGAATTAGTGTTGATAATACAACCTTATATTTGGCATTTCAATTATCTGCATCAATATATATCTGTGAGTAGAGTTCCACACTAACCGCAAATTTTTATAAGATATTTTGTATGCGTAGTGATCCATATCACCGATATGGAATAGCTAGCTTCGAATTTTGACTATTGCATACAAGACAGCCCACATACTGTTTTAGTTACATCAAAACTTCTACACAAAGCACGCAACCAAGGTCAAGCCCAATACCTGTCACCTTGGCTCTCAGTCATCAAACCATCTAACAGTCTTAATTGATATTTAAGGTTTGCCTGCTGTATGATTCCACTTATTTATATCCCAAGTGCTCGCTACGATTCGCTTCTCTTGCGCTCAGGAGCTTCTCAAAATGTGTACATACAACCATTCTCGTGTTCAAACGGTGTTGGAGCCGCATAAATTTGATTATCATTCTGCTAGCCGTTTTATAAAGCAACATAGATGTTGTTAGACCAAACAAATCTTTGCCTATCCCCTCGCGAGTGCATAAACGAACACACGAAACCTAAGCTCCTCCTCTTCATCCAGAGATTTCTTTCAATGAGCCATTAAATGCATAGTCAAGAGAGCCTTCAGTCTAGTAGGCAGACAGCGTCTACGTCGAGTTGGGAAGCATCCTCGCCATAACATCGCACTGAATCATAGTAGTGCGTATCTTCGTAGTATCTTTATGCATATTTTTTGCAGCACCCGCACACTACGTCTTCACGAAGTATCTCAGCGTCGTGTAAACTTACCTTGTGCCATTACAATGTCTTCCCCTGAATGGTAAACTAAAGTAATGAGGCTACCTAGATCTAACAAGCCTGCAAAATGGGATTCCAATTTAACAAGCACAAGTGAACATGTTGAAGTCTTACCAAACCTCTGCGGTGTGATTAAATTGATCTGATACTGAAGACTAGGCTCACCAATCTTCTTTAAACTGTTTGACAATTTTGCATTCGTCATTAGAATAAATACATTATAAAGGTGGTTTATAAGTAAATTATCACTAAAATTCGCGAGTAAAGCTTTGTGAAAATTAATTTGTCGGAATCCTCTGTTTGCTTTAACAATTTTAAGTCTCCCTAATTACTGGTAGCTAAGCTTGCAAAGTTAAGTGAAAAGATTAGTTGCTTTCTCAAATAAATTTCACCTTAACTTGTATTCAAGGTGTGGTTTGAACCCGGTACATATCCAGTTTAATCAGGGGGATTCAAACCCGGTATGTGAGAGCTACTGCTCTATCACAGCCTCATAGGGTTAGTGAATAAAGAGTCAAGTCTCTGAATGCATAAATTTCTTCGGGACTTAATACTGAGTACTCAAAATTTCTTGGTCTCAAATACTCTAACAAAAAATATGCTTACGACTGATGGTTCTTAATGAAAGCAAAACGCATGCCAATACAGCCAAAAAAACTTTTCAAAGTAATATCTATACTAATTGCCAAATAATATTCAAGAGGTTATGTACCTTAGCCAACAGTTATAATAAAAAAGTAATTCATATAAATAGGCATTATGGAAGGTTGAATACAAAATTTTAATGGACTTAATAGTTTCAAAATAACAAGGAACCGTGGAAACAAAAATAGTGTAATTATACGGCGGATAAACTGACATAAAAACGTGATAGTAAGCAGGTTTAAATTCGAGAACAATCAGGGCTCAGTCAATTTAAAGAAAATAAGGGAAGTGGAATGAAAATTTGAGAATAAATTACAATACCAAAAATTAAAGTTGGAAAAAATACCCGCCATTACTAGTTGCAAAGTGGGCATGTGAATTGGAATATCGACTAGAAAATTGCCGCTACTACTTGAAATTAAGAAGGCACTTCTTCGTATAAACGTCTGCTTAGACTGTTTTCAGTAACTTTTGTTAACAATCTTTGTACTTAGGCTGAAATCAACGCCGTGAAAGACATCGAAGTTTCTAAATCGTCTTTTCGTTTCACATAATAGGAAAATTTTGGCAGGAAAGAAAGACAGTTTTTCAAGTGGATAATGAAAGATAGCATGGAATTGACATACAATGGGGCTTTCCTTGACATTAATACACTGTATGAAATGTACTTAACCCATTTCGTTTCCTTTCGTTTCGTTTCGAAAATCTGCTTACAAAACGAAAAATGGATAGTTTGCTATCAGGGATACACCAAATACCTCTATAAGAGCTTGAAGGCACTGAGAAGAAAAAAAAAGTTAATTGTGAACTAAGAGAAAAACAGTCAAAAAAATCTAAAGTTTAGCACAGCCAAAGTTTGGGTATTTTTAGGTAGGAAAAATATTAATAAACAATCTCTTTGAAAGTAGGCAATGAATGTAAATATGCTTTAATGACTGATCTGAGAAAACAATTCATGAGGTACTTAACATTATCTAAATGCATGGAATGTTAACGTCGAATACCTATAAATTTCTATAGTGTCCAGAAACAAGGAAAGGCAAGATAGAACTGATTTGGAATCTGTCAATGGTTGCTATACAAGCGTCAGCAAGTAACCTGATAATATTTTTACAATTTGGATATCAGCAATAGCCACATTAAATAGTACAAACTAAAGTTAATACACAGTTGGCAAACGTAGGGATATAAAAAGGAAATTGAGGTTGGATAAGCATGTAGATATGATGCAAAGTGATTAAATGACATAGACGAAGATTATGGTTCGTTGACTAAATCAAAAAGCACTTATTACCAGCTTAGTAGCCGTGCAAGTCACCAATACTCCAGCTTGTTTGAAGTTCAGTGTGCCTTTTGGAAAATGTTAGGGTAAATAGTTTATAAAGTTGCCGTGATCGCAGCATATACGAAATGAACAAGAAAAGTGGGTCAAACGAAGTTACTTCTGCATGAAGACAGAGTCCCTTTTGGGAGGCAATACAAACCAAGTATATGAGGGCCTCCCGGGCGTATCTTAAGCAACATTATAGTTATTTATTTATTATAAAACTATACATTTCCCAATAGACATACTTAGTCCTACAAATTTGTCGACAAAATAATGATACAAATGATAACAAATGAATAAGGTCGCTCTAATCCAACACAAAAACAGCAAATGAATGGATTATATGCATATTCTAAGTGGAATTGCTCATTTTACCAATTACCGTTTTTAGCATAAGTATAAAAAGCATCTCGCGGATTACCAATTACCTGCATTTTTTACCATAATATATGCGGGCAAAAAGAATGAAAGGCAATTTAGTGGCACTATTCATCACTTCCATCTTTTCGATGATAGTAAGTTGAAAAGTAGGGCCATTATATAGCATATAATTGGAATAGGTCGCATAATGAGAATAAACACTTGATAATTGCTAATCCATTGTTCTGATAGAAGCGGTAGCAAGTAAAAGAGATGAATATGATCTTTGTGCATATCATTAATTTTGTTTTATCCTAGAGTCGACCAGTTTGAATCACAATATGCATCCGATTTTGTTTCCTACATATGCTGCATACATAATCGAATAAAAACAGGTTTTTCCTTCCAAATTTGCACATATGCTCTGTGCCAGTGGCATATTAGTCATTATAATAAAACCAGATAAAACTATATACAGTATGTTGTCAAGCCATTTTAGAGTACTTGGCGCGCATAAAAGCGTAGGGAAGTTCAAAGATACATAGATCCATAATTGCTCAATGGTTATAGATCCATGCAATATAACGTTTAGAGCTCGCAACAGTGGAAGGAAACTCAGGGTATAAAATGTAACTCTAAGCCACTTTTATTAAATTCTGCAGAAGAGTATTCTATGCAGAATGCTTGAGATCCCAATAAGTGACTGCCTGGCGAACAGTCTGCAAAAAAAGAGTCGGCTGGATTGTATAGTACTCTCCATCCCCATTTAAGTCGGAAATACCGTCGATCAGTGAGAAGTATGCGATACCGTCCTGGCGACTAGTCGTGGATTCCTGCTCTGGTAGACGCCGGTCCTGAGCTGAATTGCTGCGCCATTCAGCCATTTTCATGAAATGAGGGTTCGCTGTCCAACCAGGAGGCCTGAACTCAACAAGGCAGGAACCCGGCTGCAGAAAGAGGGTGTGAGAAAGACCAGCCCCATGGATACCCATGAAAATGTCGGCTAATTGTACGGCGGCCAATTGCTGGTCAAACGTCAGCTGATCGAGAACAATGGGCTGAATAATGCTTACCAAAGAAGTAGAACTGTTATCAGAAAGTCTTTCGCCTTGCAACAACGAAATCAACACGTCAAGATTAGCAAATTTGCGCATCACACGACCCTATACGCAAAAAACAAGATTTATGATTGATATTTCAATGCATACACAATAGTTCTATCAAATTTCACTTAGTCTTGATTCATATGTTTGTTTATACAATAAAACTATAATAAAAAGTAAAAATGAGAGTAAGATGCTTTATGGATGACAATTCATCCGATTTTCCTGCCCAAATAATATTTTCCTACAGTGAACCAGATGAAACAAAATATATGAAATTCAAGCTGCCGATAAGCTCCTCAATTAGGATTACGGTTGTGTAATTTCCTATTAATTATTACAATAGTGAAGTTAGTATAGGCATGATATAAAACAAAATCACTCCACATAATAAATACGAATATGGACCCAAGGATTGTTCCTCTGATAATTTGTGCAGGGTTTACCATGATTATATTCTGGTAAACCTAATTCTTATAATAAAAGATAAAGAAAATATAAATTTATGAAGCAACCAAAATAATTCATTGGAATCATATTCTATAAAACTAAGGTTTCTCTACTTCGCACTAGCAATATGCAGTTGATTGTTATTTGGCTTTATTTGAACTCGATTTTGCAGTCTGTTTTGAGACTTGATATAAGAAAATGGCATCATTAGCCATAAAGGGACTTACGTCATACTTGCTTAGTTCTATACACCGGGTAGTACTTCATGGATATTTCTGAAAAGGCGAGTTTGCCAACAAACTGCCTGATTAGAACCAGAGTTTC